TTTATGTCTTTTGGGTACATACTGCAGTTAAAAGCATCTAAAAAAAAAACCATGTCTTCCATAGAATGAATTTAGGATTCTTTCAATATCTTTTATTATTATTTTTTTTTATTTGACCAGTCATTTTTTCCTTGCTCATATATGTGACCCTAATTCCTATGATAAAGTTGTTTTACTGTGTATCAGTAGTATTTTGAAAAATGCAAAAAAAAAAAAAAAAAAATATATATATATATATATATATATATATATATATATATATATATATATATATATATATATATATATATATATATATATATATATATATATATCTCACTTGACATAATTTTGGAGACATTCATTTCTGTCAAAGATTCTCAGGACCATACGTAATGACATGAAGATAAAAGGAATTATTAGATATTTGATTTCCACAAACAAACTTTACCTCTCAGATTTTCACCTTTGATACGTGTAAGAGTATATGACAAGCAATTTCCTTGTGTTGTCAATTTGCTAATTCTCTTATATTAGAATACACATTTGGTGAGAATTAAACACTCCAGAGTTAGAGAGTAACTTCAAATAAGGAAAAAATTCTTTTGTACTAATCTATACTAGACCTTACTATATTTCCTTAAAGTGAATAGAAACATGCCATAATGTCAAAACTCAGTTTGTAAAGATATCTAAAACAGTTTGAAATGTTTGCTATTTAAATACACATTTTCTACAATTAAAAAGAAAAATGTAGCCTCAGGAATAAGTGTATACAGAAATACGCACCAGAATTAATAATTCATGTTTTGTTTTACCCCTCAGGAAAAAGGCACATTCACTTAGAATAACAAATGAGTACCCTAGCTGGCTTTGGCCCGACCTTTCATGACCTCGTCCAAGTCAGTTAAATTTTTTATTCCTTTGATGTCTCGTGGCAACTTACGGATGTGAAAGCTACATTAAGTGATTCGTGATTTTTCTTGGTATGTGTAAATGTTGGATTGAGGATGATTATCAAATGTTGTCAATTTTAGAATTTGGGGATAATCTTTTTTAACTTTGGAATAATATTGTGACAAATGAATTGATTGTCCCTACATGATATATCTCGTTGATTTTATACCTACATGATATATAAGGTTGGATTTTATTATACCCAATAGTCGTGCCGCCTGTATGTAATTTGAACAGCATCTCTTTAAAAGCTTTGAATAGAAAGTTCATGTAAACAATTGGTCTTTAGGGGCTGTTGGAATTTTAATCATGTGTTCATATAATCTGTGTTATGCATCATTGTATTGTACATAGTTCATGTATACATGCAGGTAAACCTTTTTATCCAGTTGGATTTTGTATAAACAGCTTAAAGTGAATGTATACTATAAGGTTCTTTTACAATGAAATTTTAAATTTTGAACAATATTATCTCAAAGCCAAATATTTGAAAGGGAGGAAATATGGTTGTTGTGTGAGTTTAAATTTTTCCAAATTTTACGAGGGGTTACTTTAACTCTTGACATTACTAACAAAGTTTCAATATGGGCTTAGTTACATAGGTTTCAGGGGTGACACAACATTGAATAATTCATTGTGCAAATTGGGAAAGAAGTCAATTTTACCTGGAGAGAAAAGTTTCACATATATTTCAAGGGATCACTGTGCTTTGAGAATGAATGGTTTGTAATTTGAGCACATTGTATGATAATGGAACATCTTATTTTGTCACCATGAAGGTCATAGATGGGTGGTTACGTGGTGTTAAAGGTCCTATATTCAGACTCTGTTTTGAGGAAGTGTAAGGTGTAAATTGTCCATTGACACCAGCTGGGAAGGTCTGGACTCATTTCTGTGGAATTTGGATTTTATGGAACATATAATCAATACAGTCTTTCTTGTTTCAGAAGGAAATTAATGAACTGATTTACTCCTGAAAATTTTGTAGAAAAATGTGATTTTAATTGCATATGTGACAGGTGTGAAGTGTAATGCAGTTGACAGTATTTTAGCCTGGTGACTATATATGCATGTTGTTCATGCAGCAGAGTTTTAACTTTCATTGAGGGTATTGACTGGGTAGAGTTGCACCAATGGTTTAATATGACCAATGGCTGCAGCCTCAGCATTATGTAAGATTTTCCAATGGATTTTGTGGACTATGGAGATGATGACTATGGAGGCAGCTGTTTCTCAGAATCAGGGTGAGTATTTTAATTAAAATGTGGAACTAATGAGAATTCTTCATACACTTGTAGCTCATTATAAGTTCAAAGAGTTTAGTCATTCTGCTGGGACTTCTAGATGACTTTGATGTGAACTGTTGCATTTTAAATAATCTGAGTTGATAAAAGTATTCTCTAATGATGATGTGAAACATGCATTTTCTTTTTATAAACTTTTTTTTTCGAATAAGCAGAAAATGTTTAAGAAAATAATGTGATACTACAAGGCAGATGAGTGAAAAATACCTGATTTGGTGAAGTTCCACAATGAATATTGAGACAAAGTATTTTAGAAAAAAGAATTGTGAAAGAAACTAAATATTTGTTTCAATAAAGTACATTCAAGGCTAATGGAGAATTTTTGAAGGTCTAATGGGTACATTGTAAATGGCCAGTATCTCTTTCTTATCTGAGCATTATGGGGAATTGACCTTACAGGCGCTGGTCTCTGTTATTAAAGGTCCACCATACATTGCAGGTGGAGTGGACAGAATCTCTTTTGTTGATTAATCACCCATTAAAGCTCTCTTTAATGCCAGAGTTCATCTTTTTGTTTCCATCTCCTGCGTGTGTGCTGTCTGTGCTCTATGTCCTGAGGGAGAAGAGAAATGAAGATAAACTTACTAAGGAGATATTTAATTGTCACTCGTTTGTGCTGTGGGGTCGAATTTTTTCTTCATTGTTTGATTATCATCAAATCATTTACAAGTTGAAAATGTCAACACTACCCAGGATGTAGACAATATCTTGCAACAGGTTTTGGTAGTCACCTTCCATATAAAGCCTACAGGGATAATTTATTATCCTTCGTCTTATGAGAGATTAATAAACTACTACATGTATGCCCAGCTTTCAACAGATTTTTAAAGGAATGAATAACATTTCTTTCTTTTTCCTTAAATTTCAAAGGTTTGACCCATATATGTTTTGTGGTTTGCTGATATGTGTAAAGCTGGAAACTTGTGAAGCATCACATTGCAAGAAAAACGTGTTGGTATACAGTATAGAATAAGAAACTGGTACGCTATTGTATTTTGTATTGCTTAAGAAGGGCACAGTAATAAAATTGTATGAATATTAGATATATAATTATATAATCAAATTAAATATGATTATAGTGAATGAGTTCAGACTCCCCAGAATACAGTAAACCATCTCTTATATATGTATGCAAGATATATCTGCAAGATAAGCAAGCAACACATCAAGCTCTCCGATATGGTAATGAAACAGTTATTATTTATCATAAAGACTTATCAAAGATAAATGAAATGGGATACCTCCAATGTTATTTATTGAGGAGCAGTTTTGATAATTATGGAAATTTGGGAAAAGAAAATAATGCATATAACTATTGGTTTACAGTATATACCATAGTATATTCTGTGTTGCTACTTTGTACTTAAAAAAGTACTCTTTATGGTGTCTCATTATATCTTTCACGAAAGTAAACAAAGTAAGATTACAGAGACTGTAGGATGTTCTTCATATTGGAATCTCACAATGGTGATGATGATTTAAAAAAAAAACCCACAAAAAAACAAGTTTTTGATACTGGATATTTATGGGTCATTAAAAGGAGTGAAAACACTATATGTGGAGATGGATTACTTGTTGTCTATTTGTCATACTCATGTTACAACAATTTACCTGACTTGTCAAAATGTATTGGCGGCTTCTTTGCTTTTTTTGAACAGGAGAGAATTTAATCTAAGTAATCTTTGCATACTGAAGACAACCTATGGGTAATTTGAGCTGATGATTAGATCATCCCAATTGACTTATCTTTCAATTTGCAATGCCACAGAGAGTTAGCTGACATGTACATTATTGATCAACAATGTTTTTAAACAAGCAATTAAAAATTTTTACCTGGGATTTTTAATTTATAATTTATATTATATGGATTTAAGAATGTCAATTTCTGTGATGTGTCATCTATTTTGTTTTGCTTATTGATTTATCTACGTAGTCCTCTAACAAAGTACATGTATTACAAACTTTTGTTTATTTATAGGTAGAGTGAACACATACATAATCATCTGTTAAACTTCGTTTTAACTTCTTTGAACTATTTCATCATAAGATTTAATGAAGATTCAAGTTTTTTTAAATGGAGATGCAGGTACATTGTTGGGGGGGGGGGGGATGGCCATATCATCAGGTCATCTGTGTTTCATAAACACATCTACTAATAAAAAGGTGGGAGGGGAAGAGTTGACTTTCTCTCTTTGTGTTCCACATTAACATGAAATTAATTAGGACATATAAGAAAGAAACACACAGGTTTGTGTACTTGGAATGCCTTGAGGTGAAAGGTGTACAAATGTGGTTTGCTTATGTCACAATTCCAACCTCCTAAAAAAACAAAAAACTAGGTTAACCCAGCTGTCAGATTCTGTTTCAGTGTGATGTAACACAGGTCATACTTGCTGAACCCAGAGATAATTTGAAGAAAAAATATGTTTTGCAAAAAAAAAAAATTGTCCTTGTCAAAAACTTAATTGAACAACAAGCAAATGTTAAAATTTCTAATGTCATGATTCTTAACACAAGTCTGCGAATAAAAAGTAAATTTAACATTTCAATGGAATTTATAACATGTATTTATTGTACATGTGTATGGTGCATCACATAATCTTGTGAAATTAATCCATTATACCAATGATTATATTAAATAAATAGAAACAACTGAAAAGTAATGGTGAGCTCTCGAAACTAATGCATTTATATGATTAAAAATCACCTTGCATTCATTCAATTATAACTGATTTCCTTTGTATCATTTTATCTTTTCAGAATAGAAAAGGAATACACAGCACTAAAAAGCAAAGAGAATGAAGACCAGATAGAATTAAGGGTAAATAAAAATTGGAATTACAATGTACAGTTTGTTTACATAAATTATTCAAAATTTCTTGCAAATATTTGGGGCGATCTTAAATAGGGGGCCATCATTATTTCTATGTAGTATATTTAAATAAAAAATAATTTGGTTCGTTTTCAAAGAATGTGCCAGAATATGAATTCTGATAAAATAAATGCATGCACAGTTTGACAGTAAATAAGTGTTGCTCATCAAAATTTTGTGTCCTGAAAGGTGCATACTTATAAGAAAAAAACACATTTAATATAGAGGCTTATGTATAATGCATTACTTATTGATCCCAGTTATGTAAGTGTTCATACATGTACTTAATTGGTAAATATTTGTTTAATTTTTAGAGATTAAGAACAGAAAATAGACTTCTTCGTCAACGAATTGATGCCCTTGAAAAGGTAAATATTTAGCTGGAAAATTTTAAGTAAAGAATTTCTCATATTTCAGATTGTTTTAATGAGAAAGATACATTTTGCATTCATATCTATATTCATTAAAAGCTCTAAGAAAAGATTGTTCCATATGCATTGATTGAAAATACTGATCCTATTCTTAATATTTTAAAGAACTATTGAGAACTGTTTGACAATTTGATTTGGACAGGAATCTGCCTCATTAGCCGATAGACTAATTCAATACCAAGTAACCAGAGCACAGGAGGCTGAAGAAACGTACGCCCTGAAAAACAATCTGTCCACAACGAAACAGAAGCTCCTCGATACATCACGAAAACTCGAGGAAGCTAACACACTTATAGGGGATATAAAGGATAGGGTTAGTACTGATTAGTGAAAAGTCTGTATATAGTGCATCCTTAGTGTATTGGATTTAGTGTGAATTAAATGTTATAGCTTTTATTGCATCAATCAAATTAATGCATCATCATGTATAATGAAAACTTGGTATAAATAGGTAATAATTTGAGTATGATACCTTCAAGAAATATATATTAATTATTACTGTATTATAGTCATTAACATCAGAACTTTTTCATTCTGTTGAAGATGAATTTAGTAGTAAGTTTTATAATACAAGTATATCTTGTCCTGTTGCACTGTATTCAGAATGTCTTGCACTTCAGTCCTTCGTATCGTATGTTTCATATTTACATTTGGAGGTGAATATTACATTTATATCCTTTAATTAGTTTATGTAAGGTAAAAGTATTTATATCATTGTGTAATGATCTATGAAGTAAAGCTATGAAAAATGCATCCCTTCTATTTATCGATCTTCTATGCATTATTCCCTGCACATTGCAAGTACTTGTATTGAAGTCATTTTGTTAATTAAAGCACTTTTAAGATAAAAAAGCATCATAGTCAAAGTATTTTTTTGGCAGGAATTTCTACATTCAAACATAGTGAACTTCAAACTTTTGATTGTTGTGTCTTACTATATTCTTTCTATATTATTTGGGAAGCAAAGGGATAAAAAAACAACTACTAACTTTGGTAAATGTTGGTGTCTGTAAAGCCCATTAAACATTATAAAAGATATGTAATGTAATTAGGTACATCTGATAATAAAGTTTTACTTTTAAAAATATGATATTGATAAAATTTCTTTATATACAACAAAATTTAAATATTTCCCTTTACTTTCAGACCAGCAGTATCACTTCTGCCTCCTCATTAGATGAAGATGAGGCTCAGAATGTGATAGGTCATCTACAGGAAGAGGTCATCGCTCTACGTCTGAAGGACGCTGACACTGAATCACTGGTCAAGGAGCTCCGGACTAAAATCAAGGAACTGGAGGACGTGAGTGATTGTTCAACTGTCATCTTAAAAAGGATAAAAATTGATAAAGTAAAAGAAATATTCTATATAATTTGAATTCACCACAGAATATCTATTTCAACTTTATGGGTTTCTGGAACAAAAACAGGGTGCAAGTCACAGTGAAATGACTTAAGAAGATACAAAATCATATTGCTTAGAAGATATTCATCATGACAGATAATTTGTAAAATACTGACATATGTTTTATTTTGTAGACAAACATACAGCTACAGAAAGCTCCCAGCAATGATGTCCAACATTTACAAGAGGAACTTATAGCTGTCAAACTGAGGGAAGCTGAGGCTAATCTCTCTCTGAAGGAAATGAAGCACAAAGTCTACGATTTAGAGTCGCAGTGGGAGGTAACTCTAATCTTTTATTGATTTGGTTGTCATGATATTTGGAACAATTTTATACCTTTATGGTATATGTACCCAATTTTTTATTACGGTGACATAATATATGATTTTTATAGTATCTTTGACCTGTGCAAAATTTTAAATATACAGTTGAACTTCAGTGTCTCGAACATGGATATCTCAAATACAATGGATATGTTGAAGTCATTTTGAAGTCCCAACTGCTTATTCCTTAAGTACATGTATTATACCCTGGATATCTTCAATCCTCAGTTATTTCAAAGTATTTTCTCAGTCCCTTCGAGTTTGAGATAATGAGGTTTGACTGTAGGTGTTTACTTAAAGAAACTTTGATAAGAATCAGTTTTAAATATTTTCCTTTTGATGTTTCAGGACTACCTTATCAAGTCCAGTCAAGACCCTTCTTCTCCAAAAGATAAAAATAGTAACAAGCACGAGATTCGGCAACTTCAGGAGGAGGTGATGTCTGTCAAAATTCGGGAGGCAGCGTCCTTGTCAGAACTGAAGGAGGCCAAACAAAAAGTCATGGAATTTGAAACACAGGTAGGAGTGGAAGGGGAAAAAACAGGATTGATAGACCATAGAACCATATATTATGTAGAAGAAAATTATAAATCTCAAAAAAAAATTGTGATTACAATGAGAAATTTTTGTTTTTCTGTGAGATGATTTTTTTTTCTCGAACTATTATCCTTATGATTGAACAAGAGTAATTGGTTTCCTGAACAAATGTACGATTTATACACAATTAACTTGATTGGTTATAGCTTTTCATCATTTTTTTTCCTTCTCAGAACCATATCTGCACAAATCAAATCAGGAGAATGGACGAGGAGAACAAGTCCCTGAAATCTCAGATAGAACTTCAGGAGGCTCAGGAAAAAGACCTCAGGAACCAGATCAAAGAAATGTGTAGAAAAATGGACAACTTAGAGGCACAGGTATATACATACAGCACGATTGTTGGAATTATAGTTTGGTACCTTATGATTTTTGCTGGCATTTAAATTTATAGATTACATTATGATTACTGAAAATCAACTTTTATTCATGAAATCTTTTTTTATGTGATTCATCAATTTGAAATCCATCTGCAACAATTAATTTTGAGGCATAAATTCTACACAAATACACAAATAAAGGGTTCGCAGTGAGATATATTCGCGAGTGAAAAGGAGATCATGAAACTCGCATATATTTCTCGCACACAAATAAAAGTTGTTTACTATATAGTTGGAATTTATGATTCAGCTTAAATTTTATATTTGCTGCAAGTATCAAGGAATATATAAAGGATTGTGATAGATTAATATTTACATTTCCAATGTCTTTGTCCGAGATGAAATTACAAGTTGTAAAAATACTTTATTTCTAAATATTTACATTTCCAATGTCTTTGTCCGAGATAAAATTACAAGTTGTAAAAATACTTTATTTCTACATAAATCTACTGGTTCATCGATAGGCGCGGTTAAGAAAAATCACGTGCGGGGCAGGACAAATAGAGACAGAAGCGGGGCTATTAGCACGGGAATTTGCAGAATCAGGAGCATGTAAATATAAGGAATAACTGTCTTATTTTTTGGATTCATGACGATGATCAATCGATTGGCTTGCGTGATAATTTTATGCATAAACGCCTTCGGCGTTTATGCAAATTATCACGCAAGCCACTCGATTGATCACATCATGAATCCAAAAAATAAGACAGTTATTCCTTAAGAATATTGAGGTTTAACCTGACATGATTTTGTCCCAGGTGCAAGATTACATACCTGAAGCGCATAAACAAAATTATGTGTTGTATATGTAATTGAAAAGTAAGAATTAAGCAGAACAATTAGATGAATTAAAATAAATGTCTTGTAGAGAAAAGAAGAGTCTGTGATGACAAAAATCAAAGATGCCGAGCAAGCCCAGACTTTGGCAGAACTCAAACGAAAAATAGCTGAACTTGAAATCCAGGTACTGTACACGTACATTTAGGTGATGTGATATGATGATCTTGTTTGGAGGCAGATATCACAAACTTCAAAGATTCTTGGAATTTTTTTTCAAAGTTGATTCTATTTCAGTATTATCTCTGTGGTTACTCAAATTTTCAATTATCGTGAAATTAATGAAATTTTGCAGAAGGAGGAACTTCTCACAGCTGATCGATTGGATGCAAAAGATGGCAGCCAAGACTTGGCCAACCGAATCTATGATCTACAAGATGAAGTATGTCAGATTGATGCATGTGGCTCTTCTGCACTCAGTGACCCTAGTGTGTGGGTGTCCTAACCTTTTCACCTTTGATCTGTCTGTACTGCATTTAATGTCATCCTGCTTGAAAACAGTTTATTGAAGTAAACATGGTTTAAAAATGTTTTCCATTGAAGGCTTGAAAATGAAAATGAAGGTTTACTTTTAACATTCTAACTGAAATTTGTGAATGGTTACTAATTAAATTTGATGTAAAAATAGGTGGGAATTTGCATGCTTTTTCCTTTTGATTTTGTTTGTTTGTCTGGTTTGTTTTGTTTGTTTGTTTTGTTTACCAGTGTTTTTTAAGAGCAATTGTTGTTCAAGTTACTAGTTTTCAATTGTTTTATTAAAGTTTCTGTTTTGCAAAACAGTTTTCATAAACTTCAAATATTAATGTTCTACCTATTTAGCAAGAGTGATCTGAGACTATAAACTCTTTCAAGGCTTCAGGTTATTACAGACAGTCAATGAATAGACTATTAATTAAAAATACCAGATATTAGGGAGAGGATTCTCTAATTATTGTCATGCTTTTATGAGACAGTTTAGCTGTTGTTTGTATTAAATATTTTGCTTCAGCTTAAAGTAGATTGTGTCACCAATCCCCATTTGATCACACTGCAGTCTTTTCTCTATCATACAGCTCTAACATATATTAATCAGATTTGATGGATCAATTTTTTCATGAGTCAAGTTTGGTACAGAATATTGGTTTTTTTTCATTGCTTTTTTTTGTTTTCTACAGTGAACTTGTACGTTTCTAATATGGTAAAGTTAAAAAAAATGAGGAAAAAACAAAATTCTTTATAAAATTTCTCATTTCTTTACCTCATCCTTTTTATCATTATACACTGAACAACAATTTAACATTACCCATGTAAGATATAATCAGTGACTTCAGTTTTATATATTATATACATATTCATATATATACGTAAATTTATATTATAAGATAAGCGCTTTATAATTTATCATATCACTAAGAATAATCATAATTCTTCACTCCAAAGTATAATTGATATTCCAATTAATGAATGTACATATATTCAGAATATTTTATACATGTATTATTTGTTTTTTTGTTTGATACACCAACAGAAATTTACTGAAGAAGATAGTTAATATTTTTATCAGTATTGCAAATATGATACAAATTTTGATTAAAATGACTCATTGTGATTTGCAATTCTTTATTTCAAAACATTTGTTGCTTAATTAATTTAAATTTGTTAAATTTTGGTTTTGAAACTTATATACTTTTGATAATTATCTAACTTTTGGTTTATCATGGGCATGGATTGTTTCCCTACCATTTCCTTAAAAATTAGTGCTAACATTTCAAGATATAAACCTTTCTGTTTAAAGTAACAATGTATTTAAAAACACAGTAACATCTTGGCAGGTTAATTAAAGGGAAACAACTCTTATTTGAATGATTCTTGGTTCTTAGAAACTTGGCAAATTAAACCTAATTATTTATTATTTTTTTGCCAGGTACTCCAACTGAGGCTATCCCACAATTCCTCAGTATCAAGACCACCATATCGTAATGGTTCTTTGAGTGAAAGTGATGAGGATAATGACGAAGACTTGGAAAATCCAGACACCTTAAACCGAACTTTGTCTGACATCATCGAAGGCAAGTCCCCAGTCAGTGTCTTATCTTCATCCCTTTTCCACAATTCATCCCCTGAGAAAAGCACATCAAAGTCCTCAGAGGAGCTTTCAAACAATGGACAGACCTCTGGGATGGATCAGTGCATTGAAACTTTGTCCCCAATCTGTTCCCCAAGCAAAGTGCAGAGTTCAGCATTAAACAGTGACTGTGATACAAATTTAGGTCACTCAGAAAATGGTGCTTTATCAAATCCTTTACAAAGTAATGGGACCGGTGCAAAGACAGTGGTAAATAGTGACTCATGCAATGGACTCTCCACAAGTTTATCTAATGGGGAACTAAGCAATGCTAATAAAGAACCCACAGTGACTTCTCCAGAGTGCTCAACACAAGAAAGTGTGTCATAGTAAAGGGGAGTAAATCAGGTCTGATTATTGTTGGATATATTCGTGAAAGAAAAAAAAATATTTTCTTAAATTTATTGTTTGATTAAAGAACTTATTGATGCTATATGGTTTAGTTTTAAAGAAATTTAGATTTGGATGAATGTTACTAGAGATTTTTGGGTCATTGTAGAGGAACTTGTGTAAAAATGTTGTGTAACCCACCATACTTTTTCACAAAACGTGCATATATATATTATTCTATTCTTGGACTATTTGCATGGTTTTGGTAAATTGCAGTATTTTCCTCAGAAACAAACAAATTTGAATATTTTTGGACAAATATGTTTAAAACAAGGAGATATATTCCTAAATTTATCTCCAGGAAAAATTTTACAGGTATTTGATGTTTGGAGCTTTGGCTCTGAGTAAATCAGAGCAAATATGATATTTCTTTGAACAAATAAGAGTACCAGCATGGGAATCAAAATGAGCAAATATTTCCCTTGTTTAGTCAATAAAAATAAGGACTTATGAATAGTATTTATGGCATGATGGTATACATGTATTTGTTGAAACAGAGAGGGTTTTTTCCTCATTCCATGTTCATGCATATAATTATTTAAAAGAAGACTGACTGCATGAATTTAAACAAAATTTGCCTGTCATCTACTCAGTATTTTGTGCACACAACCTTAAGTTATGTCTGGTTCACTTTGATTTTTAGAATTGTATGAGTTTATTTAGATATTGAATGGGGATAAGATCACCATTATTTGCAAATATTGTTAATACTCACTGGAGTTCATGTGCCAAAGAATTTTGCAAGTATTGTTTATGCTACATAAAAGAGGTATTTATTTTTCAATTGAGGCTTGTTGGAAGTAGTTTAGAAATACTGGCAATTCTGCATGATGGAAATCTTATTTTAAAGAAATAGAAAAGTAGGTGCATTTTGATGTGTCTTCTGAAATTGTTTTGAACCAGGATGATTGGGGGGGGGGGACATGAAACTATTGTGTTAAATGGTAATATAATCTTAAATACTTCACTGTTGATTCTTCCTGGTCTGTTCAGAGACTTTCTAGAAAAATCTCAATTCAAAATCTTACCTCAGCTAGAGTTACTGCCCTTTCTCATACACAGATATAACTAATGTCTCCCCCTCCTTCTTTGCAATATTATCATAACATTTTTCTTAGGCCTTAAGGAGTGAAATTAAAATCCTAGTGGTCTTTAATTTATCTACAAGAATTCCAGCTCAAATATCCAGAAGACAGTTTAATGAAAAAGCAACATGTAGATATATCTGAATTGATTGTTATTGAAATCTTTTTCTACAAATGTTTATGAATGCATTGATTGAAATGTGGTTGTGATTAGGGAATAATAAAAAAAGAAGTGGAAACCCATAGCTACCAATACATGCCTGCGAAACATAAAAATATTTATCTTTTACTACTGGATTTTAACGAGTACTCAGTTTAATAGTCTGTCATTAGGTTGTAACCTGGTTACTTCCCATGAATTTTGTTTTTTATATTATATAATTTCTGTTGGTGGATATCTTATTGAGATGAATACAAGATATGTTATTTGAACTTTGTACCATTACAATAAAAATATACGAACATGTTTTTATGCTGTTTCTATTTTAATCCATTATGTTGACAAGTTATTTTTTTTCAGTTGTTTCCAGAGATAACTCCCAAGTTCTAGAATAGCAGGGTGTACCAGTAGTTTCTATCATTTAAGGAAGAAAATGCTGAAGTCATAAGAAGAATTTCTTGTGACTCTTACTTGTTCTTAAAGGAAAAAAAAAAATTCTTGCTTATTATTTTTAGGACATGTCTGTGTCCAAGTTTGATGTGCTCATGGTTTTTAACCTCACCTGAGATGAAAGCTCAAATGAAGCATTTCTGATCACCCATTGTCCGGTGTCTGCCTCTTTCTCTCTGTTTGTAAACTTTTCACATTTTCAACTTCTTCTTCAGAACCATTGGGCAAATTTAACTAAAGTTGGCACAAAGCATTCTTGGGCAAAGGGAATTTTGAATTGTTCAAATGAAGGGCCAAGGCTTGTCCCAAGGGGAGATACTGGTAATTATGAAAAGGTAAAAATAAAAATTGGTTATAGAAATTCTCCTCAAGAACCACTACCCCAGAAAAGATTAAAGTTTAGATTAACAAATCTTTCTCAAATAGTACTAGATGGGCTTGGTTTCCAAATTATGTAGTTAGTGTATTGTTTGTTCTTCCATGTCTGTCTGAATATGATGATTAAAATTCAAACAGAATACCCTGATAATTTTCTTCAATCTATTAATTTGCCTATTTTCAATCTTTTGATTTGTATACATATGTTTGCATTTTTAGCTCACCTGAGGAAAATACTAAAGTGAGCTTTTCTACTCAAAAGTACTTGTCCAGCATCCATCTGTTGTGTGTCATCTGTAAACTTTTCTTTGGGTCATGAATAACCATGGCTGTGCTGTTCTTGAGAAGATTTAAAAATGATTTTTCCTACATCTTTCTATGTAAAACCTTTATCCCCTGTCTTGGCCTCACACTACTCCCGGTGGTTATGATTTGAACAAACTTGAAACTTTTTCATTATGTTAAGAAGAAAATGGAAATACGAAAAGTTTACAGCATCGACGACCGGATAAATTTTGATCAGAGAAATTCACGTGAGCCTTCGGCTCAGGTGAGCTAAAGAGCTGTATAAAGACATCAGTGAAGCAGTTTAAAACTTTAAAAAACAGATGCTTTAAAATTTGTCCGAACTTTTGGGAATATAATGTTCTGTGAAGTACGTCAAGATTCAAAATTACAAAAAACACAAAACTTCAGTGGTTCCAATTTAGAATAAATCATAAAATACTAGCAACAAATTCCTTCCTGCATAAAATTAAAAAAATTGACAGTAATGTATGTACTCTTTGTAAAACAGAAACTGAAACAATTGAACACTTGTTGTGGGAATGTGAACATGTTCAGACTCTGTTAGAGAATTTTGCAGAGTACTGCTTTGATAGAATCCACTCTACTATAACCTTCTCAAACAAGAGGCCCAGGGGCCACATCGCTCACCTGAGCACTATGGCTAGGAAAAAGCAGAAATCAGTTCAGTCTTGAAAGGTTGAAAAGTTTGAATAAAAAAGTGGTTCGGGGGGAGGGGGGGGGGGTGTCATAAATTGAACAAATTTGAATCTACATTATCTGAGGATGCTTCCATTTAAATATGACCAATCATGGCTTTGCTGTTCTTGAGTAGAAGATTTTTAAAGATTTAACCTATGTATTCCTATGTAAAACTTTGATCGCCCATTGTGGCCCCACCCGACCCCCGGGGGTCATGATTTGAACAAACTTGAATCTACACTATCTGAGGATGCTACCATATAAATATGACCAATCATGGCTTTGCTGTTCTTGAGAAGAAGATTTTTAAAGATTTAACCTATATATTCCTATGTAAGACTTTGATCGCCCATTGTGGCCCCACCCGACCCCCGGGGGTCATGATTTGAACAAACTTGAATCTACACTATCTGAGGATGCTACCATATAAATATGACCAATCATGGTTTTGCTGTTCTTGAGAAGAAGATTTTTAAAGATTATTCCTATATATTCCTATGTAAAACTTTGATCGCCCATTGTGGCCCCACCCGACCCCCGGGGGTCATGATTTGAACAAACTTGAATCTACACTATCTGAGGATGCTACCATATAAATATGACCAATCATGGCTTTGCTGTTCTTGAGAAGAAGATTTTTAAAGATTTAACCTATGTATTCCTATGTAAAACTTTGATCGCCCATTGTGGCCCCACCCGACCCCCGGGGGTCATGATTTGAACAAACTTGAATCTACACTATCTGAGGATGCTACCATATAAATATGACCAATCATGGCTTTGCTGTTCTTGAGAAGAAGATTTTTAAAGATTATTCCTATATATTCCTATGTAAAACTTTGATCGCCCATTGTGGCCCCACCCGACCCCCAGGGGTCATGATTTGAACAAACTTGAATCTACACTATCTGAGGATGCTACCATATAAATATGACCAATCATGGCTTTGCTGTTCTTGAGAAGAAGATTTTTAAGGATTTTTCCTATATATTCCTATGTAAAACTTTGATCGCCCATTGTGGCCCCACCCGACCCCCGGGGGTCATGATTTGAACAAACTTGAATCTACACTACCTGAGGATGCTTCCATGTAAATATGACCAATCATGGTTTTGCTGTTCTTGAGAAGAAGATTTTTAAAGATTATTCCTATATATTCCTATGTAAAACTTTGATCGCCCATTGTGGCCCCACCCGACCCCCGGGGGTCATGATTTAAACAAACTTGAATCTACACTATCTGAGGATGCTACCATATAAACATGACCAATCATGGTTTTGCTGTTCTTGAGAAGATTTTTAAAGATTATTCCTATATATTCCCATGTAAAACTTTGATCGCCCATTGTGGCCCCACCCGACCCCCGGGGGTCATGATTTGAACAAACTTGAATCTACATTATCTGAGGATGCTACCATATAAATATGACCAATCATGGCTTTGCTGTTCTTGAGAAGAAGATTTTTAAGGATTTTTCCTATATATTCCTATGTAAAACTTTGATCGCCCATTGTGGCCCCACCCGACCCCCAGGGGTCATGATTTGAACAAACTTGAATCTACACTACCTGAAGATGCTTCCATGTAAATATGACCAATCATGGCTTTGCTGTTCTTGAGAAGAAGATTTTTAAAGATTTTTCCTATGTATTCCTATGTAAAACTTTGATCGCCCATTGTGGCCCCACCCGACCCCCGGGGGTCATGATTTAAACAAACTTGAATCTACACTATCTGAGGATGCTACCATATAAATATGACCAATCATGGTTTTGCTGTTCTTGAGAAGAAGATTTTTAAAGATTATTCCTATATATTCCTATGTAAAACTTTGATCGCCCATTGTGGCCCCACCCGACCCCCGGGGGTCATGATTTGAACAAACTTGAATCTACACTATCTGAGGATGCTACCATATAAATATGACCAATCATGGCTTTGCTGTTCTTGAGAAGAAGATTTTTAAGGATTTTTCCTATATATTCCTATGTAAAACTTTGATCGCCCATTGTGGCCCCACCCGACCCCCAGGGGTCATGATTTGAACAAACTTGAATCTACACTACCTGAAGATGCTTCCATGTAAATATGACCAATCATGGCTTTGCTGTTCTTGAGAAGAAGATTTTTAAAGATTTTTCCTATGTATTCCTATGTAAAACTTTGATCGCCCATTGTGGCCCCACCCGACCCCCGGGGGTCATGATTTGAACAAACTTGAATCTACACTATCTGAGGATGCTACCATATAAATATGACCAATCATGGTTTTGCTGTTCTTGAGAAGAAGATTTTTAAAGATTATTCCTATATATTCCTATGTAAAACTTTGATCGCCCATTGTGGCCCCACCCGACCCCCGGGGGTCATGATTTGAACAAACTTGAATCTACACTATCTGAGGATGCTACCATATAAATATGACCAATCATGGCTTTGCTGTTCTTGAGAAGAAGATTTTTAAAGATTTAACCTATGTATTCCTATGTAAAACTTTGATCGCCCATTGTGGCCCCACCCGACCCCCGGGGGTCATGATTTGAACAAACTTGAATCTACACTATCTGAGGATGCTACCATATAAATATGACCAATCATGGCTTTGCTGTTCTTGAGAAGAAGATTTTTAAAGATTATTCCTATATATTCCTATGTAAAACTTTGATCGCCCATTGTGGCCCCACCCGACCCCCAGGGGTCATGATTTGAACAAACTTGAATCTACACTATCTGAGGATGCTACCATATAAATATGACCAATCATGGCTTTGCTGTTCTTGAGAAGAAGATTTTTAAGGATTTTTCCTATATATTCCTATGTAAAACTTTGATCGCCCATTGTGGCCCCGTCCGACCCCCAGGGGTCATGATTTGAACAAACTTGAATCTACACTACCTGAAGATGCTTCCATGTAAATATGACCAATCATGGCTTTGCTGTTCTTGAGAAGAAGATTTTTAAAGATTTAACCTATGTATTCCTATGTAAAACTTTGATCGCCCATTGTGGCCCCACCCGACCCCCGGGGGTCATGATTTGAACAAACTTGAATCTACACTACCTGAGGATGCTTCCATGTAAATATGACCAATCATGGTTTTGCTGTTCTTGAGAAGAAGATTTTTAAAGATTATTCCTATATATTCCTATGTAAAACTTTGATCGCCCATTGTGGCCCCACCCGACCCCCGGGGGTCATGATTTAAACAAACTTGAATCTACACTATCTGAGGATGCTACCATATAAACATGACCAATCATGGTTTTGCTGTTCTTGAGAAGATTTTTAAAGATTATTCCTATATATTCCCATGTAAAACTTTGATCGCCCATTGTGGCCCCACCCGACCCCCGGGGGTCATGATTTGAACAAACTTGAATCTACATTATCTGAGGATGCTACCATATAAATATGACCAATCATGGCTTTGCTGTTCTTGAGAAGAAGATTTTTAAGGATTTTTCCTATATATTCCTATGTAAAACTTTGA